CTTTGATGCCCCTTGGCTCTCATGCTCCCCGTTTTTGTCCCTAGAACATGCCTAAAAACTCTTTTGCCTACATCGGTTAACACTTGCATTTTGTGGAACCTCCTGGTCATGAGGAGCATCATCCCGAAGCCTCAGAGTGTTCCTGATTCATCACGCAACTCCAACCTCAGCCAGGCAAGGACACGCCAGTGAATGAAAGCGCTTGTGAATAAAGCAGCAGGATCGTTGCCCTCGCCAGCTTGTGCAGTGCTCATGTGTGGTTTCTCTAGGGTGGAGATGCGGAACGCAGCGGGCCTATCTTTTTTTTTTTTCCTAGATGTGAGTGCTGGATGTGTGGCGCATACATGGGAGTGTTAGTTTTTTAAAGAAATTTTTGTGGCAGGCAGTGATGGCTACCGCCTGTAATCCCCAGCACACGGTCATGAGTCAGGAGATCGAGACCATCCTGGCTAACACGTGTGAAACAACGCCTGTCTGTACTAACAAATACAAAAAAGTAGCCGGGGCCATGCGTGGCAGACGTGCTTGTAGGTCAGCTACTCAGGAGGCTGTGGCAGGAGGAATGGCTTGAAACGCTGGAAGCGGAGGTTGCAGTGAGGGCTGAGATTGCGCCATTGCCGACTCCAAGCTGGGGCGACAGATGGAGACTCTGGTCTCAATTTTTTTTTTTTTTTTCTTTTTTTTTGTGGAGACAGGGTTCAGCTTTGCTTGCCCCGGTCTTGAACTTCTTGGCTCAAATGGATCTCCTTGCCTCGGCTTCCAAAAATGCTGGGAATTCACTGGGATCACTGCACCTGGCCTGTTGACACAGATGAGGGCACGAATCTGGGGTATCACCATGTCGCCCAGGCTGGTCTCAAACTCCTGGATGCAAGCGATCCTCCTGCTTCAGCTTCCCAAAATGCTGGGATTACAGGCATGAGCGACCACACCCAGCCAGGAAAGTGTGTACGGCTCTAAACAAGGCACACAAAGTCTCTTGAGTCCCCTCTTACCTTGCCTGTAGACTCCAGCTGCTAAACTGCTTCTCCCTGCCCTAAGTACACACAGATGCTCACAGTGGCTCTGCGAAGACTGCTCTTTGCCTTTGTTCATGCAACTCCAACTGTTTGAAAGACTCCTACCAACCTCTTTTTTTTTCTTTTTTCCTGGAAAATTCTTTCTTTCTTTTTTTTCTTTTTTTTTTTGAGATGGAGTCTCACCGTCGCCCAGGCTGAAGTGCAGTGGTGCAATCTTGGCTCACTGCAACCTCTGTCACCATGTTGACCAGGTTGGTCTCAAACTCCTGCCCTGAAGTCATCGGCCCATCTCAGCCTCCCAAAATGCTGGGATTACAGGCGTGAGCCACTGCGCCCTGTGGAAAATTATTTCTTTAGGTGCTACCTCCTTCAAGAAGCTCCAAAGTCTGTAATCCCAACACTTTGGGAGGCTGAGGCGGGCAGATCATGAGGTCAGGAGATCAAGACCATCCTGGCTAACACGGTGAAACCCCGTCTCTACTAAAAATACAAAAAAATTAGCCAGGTGTGGTGGCAGGTGCCTGTAGTCCCAGCTACTCGGGAGGCTGAGGCAGGAGAATGGCGTAAACCCGGGAGGCGGAGCTTGCAGTGAGCTGTGATCCGGCCACTGCACTCCAGCCTGGGGGACAGAGCGAGACTCCGTCTCAAAAAAAAAAAAAGCAGCAAAAAAAAAAAAAAAAAAAAGCAGCAGCAGCTCCATGGTTCCTTTCCTTCCTGTCCCAATTAAGGTTGGGACGAGAGTACTCTCCCACTGTGTCCATTTCTATTATGGAAACTTATCCATACTGTATTATAATTGGCCATTTCCTTGTCTGTCCCCACACTGAACTGAACTCTTCAAGGGCCAAGACTGTATCATTCATTTCTGTGTCCCAAGCTCCTAAGACAGGGACCAGCATATAGTGCAAACTCAAAAGGTTTGGTTAATATCAAATAGCCTTGGCAGCCATGGACCCTGCATGTACCTTTTCACGAGGAGTTGGCAGGGGGTGTGCCTTGCTGCAGGTACGGCTTCTGTTGGAGCGGGAGATGGTGGAAGAGAGGGGAGAGGGCTGAGAACTCAGAATTTGAGGATCAGGGCAGAATAGAATGGAAGTGCAGGGTTCAAAAATTCCCCTACCCTGCTGGGATGTTGTGAAACCCTCGCTCTCTCCCCTCCAGGTTCCCCATCTCTCTCCCAGAACAAAGAGCATCTCCCTTGAAGCCTCACTCACCCGGTGTCTGTGCCTCAGGTCTTGGTGAAGAATGCTGGAAGTAGAGGACCTAGTCAGAGAAAGGACTATCCCCATGGCCAGGAAGAGGTGTGGCCAGGGCAGACGGGGTAAAGGGATTCTCAGCCAGCAGTGAGGAGTGGGTACTGGGTTAGCGGGTAAGAGGGGCACTTCACAGGTCCTAGGGCTGGCTGTGAGATGGTCGAGATGGGCACAGACTCCTGGAGAGTTCAGCTAGGGGTGGGCAGGGTCAGGGACTGGAACCAGGCATGATGGGAGCTGCGGTTCTCTAGACACCATAGTCCTGAGGCAGGAGGTTACCACGTTTGGATATCTGAGTCGCTTGGTCTTGTGTCTGTTTTTTTTTGATGGGCACAGGGTTCAAGTGGCAACAAGCAGTGCACAAAGCCTCCTCCGTCAGTTCTGCACTGATCCGGGACAGGTATTCCTCAGAGAGAGACAAGGAAGCCTGGGAAAGGAAAAGTCGGAGAGGTTCAGCCTGGGAGCTCCCACATGGAAGTGCTGGGTGTAGGAGTTCCCAGGCTGGGGCCTGTGGGTCCAAGGAGCTTGCTCTTGAACGACTGGGCCTTGAGATTTAGCTAGAAGGCTCTGAATCTGGAGGAGTGGGGTTTGGTGGAGGTTTAGAGTCAGGGCCTAGTGTTGAGAGCTATGGGTCTGGGCTTCAGGACTCAGGGTTGAAGCTACAGTCTCAGGGCTTGTGGCTCAGACCTGGGACGGGGTGCCTCTGCCTGGGAGGCCTTCACTTCATTACACTCCCACCTCTAGGGCCCCCTGCAGTGCTCACCGGACCTCCTCTCAAGGAGGGTGCAGCTTGAGACGGCCAGCTGCTCTTCTTCTCCCCCTCATTCCCCATCGGAGTGGACGCCATCCCCCTGGGAACAGTCGAGGCCTGTGTTGACCTGAGAAACCGGCCCGCTGTACCCCAGAACTCAGCTCACCACCATTCCCCGGGCCCAGGTTTAAACAAGGCCTTTAGAGGAAACATCCCGCTGCCTCATTCTCTCTCTCAAGAAAATAATAATAATAATAATAATAAACGTTGCTTTATATCTTCGGGAGTGAGAGGGAACTCCCGCAACCCCCCACCCCTCACCCCTTCGCCTCGTGGGCCTCTCGTTTCTTCCCTTTCAAGCCCCTTCCCAAGCTAAGGCAGCCAACTTGACGCCCCAGACCTGGCAGATGGGTGGAAACCTTGGGCTACTAGGCAGAAGGGGAGACGTGGAGGCCTAAGGACCTCTGGTATAGGTCGTGGGGGACGGGGAATGGGAGATGGGGAGGAAGGCTGGAAAAGGGGGAGCCGGCTCCGTGTTGCTACCGGCCGCTAAAAAACCCTTGGAGTCTGCGGAGGTTCCGCAGCCTCGTTGCTAGGAGATCAGGGGTTCTAGAACTAAAGACAGAGGAATTTCCTAGCTCGCCCCGTTTGCTCCTCCAGCCTCCCCTCAGTACCCCTCCAGGTGCCTCCTTGGGGGCAGTGACCCCAAGCGCCAGACGCTTGAGAAGTTTGGGAGGATGACGCAGGGTGGAGCCTGCGACCTAATCCTCCTATCACAAGGGGCACGCCAGAAGCAAGCCGGCTTCAGGGCGCTCTGGAGCCTCTCTAGCCGCCTGGAGCCTGCGAGAGCAAAGGCGGCTGCAGACTTAGGGGGCGGGGAGAAAAGTGAGGACTGCACCAAATATCCTGGCCTCTAGGGGATGCAAAGACTCAGAAGGAGGAATTTTATCGCCTTATTTTTGTCTCCAGGAAGTCAAACCCTCCAGAAAAGGAAAGCAGATATTTTTATTCGGCCTCTTTCTCTTTTGCTCTTTCCTTTTCCGTTTCTGCCTTTGCTCGACGTCAATGGTTCTTTCCTCCCTCTCCCCCTCTGCACCTTGGTACGAGCCAAGGGAGAGGGGCGGAGGGAGGAAAAGGGAAAGGAAGCGAACAGGCCTTAAAGGGGCCGCAACTATTTTTTAAGCCACTTTTTCCTCTCTCCAATTTTGCAACGACGGGCGCGGAGGAGGAGGTTCCCGAAAGCCACGCGCAGCTGGAGCAGCGGTGACCGCAGCTGGAGGCCCGGAGCGCCTGCGGGGCGGGCAGAGGCGAGGGGGGTTGAGGGTAGGAAGGGCGGGCTGCGCGCGCCACCTGCGCCCTGCGCGTCTCGGGGCCGGCCCATGCTCCCGACGGCTGCGGGATTCAGCATCTGGGGCCGGGTTGGGGCGGCGGGGTCCAGGGCGCAGGTGGTGCGGCCGATGAGCCGGGCCGGAGGCTGAGGCCGCGCGACGGGGCTGGGACAGCGCTGGCATCTTCAGAGCAGGCCCGGGGCAGCAAGGGAGGCGCTGCGATGCCAGACGAAAATATCTTCCTGTTCGTGCCCAACCTCATCGGTGAGTGCTGCCCGCGGCCCCGGGGCGGACTAGAGGGCGAGGGGCCTTGGCGGGCTCCCTAATCCTGCCCTGTTTCCCCGCGTCCCGTTCCAAGGTTATGCCCGGATTGTCTTCGCCATCATTTCTTTCTACTTCATGCCCTGCTGCCCCCTCACGGCCTCCTCCTTCTACCTGCTCAGCGGCCTGCTGGACGCTTTCGATGGACATGCTGCTCGCGCTCTTAATCAAGGTGACAGACACCCCTCTCAGCCAGCCTTGGGGCCCAACAACCCCCTGCTCCCTTCCCTGCCTCCTCAGGACCTCAGAGTCAGAGGGCTGTCATTCCCATCTCTGAAAAAAGCAGAACAGGATGGCCTGGGGTTTTTGTTTTGTTTTGTATTTTGTTTTTGAGACAGCGTCTCGCTCTGTCACAGGCTGGAGTGCAGTGGTGCGATCATGGCTCACTGCAGCCCCCATCTCCTGGGCTCAAGTAATCCTTCCACCTCAGCCTCCTGATTAACTGGGACTACAGGCGCGTGCCACCACACCTGGCTAATTTTTAAATTTTTGTAGAGACTGAGTCTTGCAGTGTCACCCAGACTGGTCCCCAGCTCCTAGCCTCAAGCGATCCTCCTGCCTTCCTCCCAAAGTGCTGCACCCAGCAAGAATGGCCTGATTTTGTAGCAGAAGGGATTTAAGCTAGCTCTTGAGAACTCACTGCTTGTGAGAGGTGTGGATTAGCAAGACATGACGTGGCCATGGCGCTGCTGGAGGTCTCTCTGAACACAAGTCCATTCAGGCCAGGGGCGGTGGCTCACGCCTGTAATCCCAGCACTTGGGAGGCCGAGGCGGGCGGATCACGAGGTCAGAAGTCCGAGACCAGAGTGACCAACAGAGTGAAACCCTGTCTCTGCAAAAAATACAAAAATTAGCTGGCTTGGTGACGTGTGCCTGTAATCTCAGCTACTCAAGAGGCTAAGGCAGGAGAATTGCTTGAACCTGGGAGGCGGAGGTTGCAGTGAGCCGAGATTGTGCCGTCACACTCCAGCCTGGGCGACAGAGCAAGACTCTGTCTCGGGGGAAAAAAAGAAAAGTCCTATCAACAGGTGTTTCCTGGAGGCCTACTGTGTGCCCTGCATAAGTAGTTGGGGTTCCAGAAGGCATGCTTAGAGGGGGGATGGAGAGGGACGGGTGATGGCTCTTGGAGGGTTGACTAATTTTTTAATCTGTTCTCCAGACCCAACTCTAAGGCTTCCCCTGAGGCATCAAGTCTCTTTTTCTAGCCCTGGAGCCTTGGTTCTGGGGTTGATGAGCTGCAGACATAGCTTTCCTCTCCTCCTACCCTGTTCCCTTCACTCTCATGCCTTTCTCAGTTCATGCCATGGTGACCTTTGCCCACTAACCTCACACACAGCCTGTTTTCCAACCTGCGTTCCTCCCCAGGCAGGTGGACACTCCCAGTCTTCGTTTACACCCTGCATGAGAGTGATAAACCAAATATGGGCACCTGTCCTGCAGTCTCTGTGCCATAATAGCCCCTGCCCACCTACTCTTCCAGGAACCCGGTTTGGGGCCATGCTGGACATGCTGACGGACCGCTGCTCCACCATGTGCCTGTTGGTCAACCTGGCCCTGCTGTACCCTCGAGCCACGCTGTTCTTCCAACTCAGCATGAGTTTGGATGTGGCCAGTCACTGGCTGCACCTCCACAGGTCTGCCGCGATGCTGGGGGCCTTGGCCAGTTAGAGACACTACAGTGGGGTGGGCTGAGCTTAGATGGAAGGGTGTCTGGGATGGCACTAGGCGTCCTGGAAGGGCTCCATTTTAGCTCTGCTTTGTAGAAGGACCCCAGGCAAACACGCCTCTCTTTAAAGCTTCAGTCATGTTTACAGTTGCATTAAGCAATTCTTAGGACTCTTCTGGCTGGATATTCTAGGATTCCAAATAGGTGACAGCTCATAGGAAGGGGCATAGGAGCTTTCAAATGTAGTATTTGAATCCTGACTCTGCCCCGAAATAGGTAACTGGCTTTGGGCAAGATATTGGTCCTTAGCCATGCCCAGTTTTCCATCTGTACAATAGGTGTTAACATGAGGATCGGATGCACGGTAGTGGTCATGAAACCTCATGGGTTCCCCTGTTTTCTCCCTAAGTTCTGTGGTCCGAGGCAGTGAGAGTCACAAGATGATCGACTTGTCCGGGAATCCAGTGCTTCGGATCTATTACACCTCGAGGGTAGGCATTTCCTGCACACCCCGCCCCTCAGGCTCTTGGCTGTGGGAAGCCCTGGGCTGAGCCCTGGTCCTAGACTAGGAGAAGGCAAGGGCACAGAGCAGGGCCTGCCCAGTCACTCCAGGAGGAGGGGCCTGTAAGCTGAGGTGTGGAGGAGGATGATTGGTGGGGAAGGCCTGTGTGAATTACTCCAGGGAACAAGTGGGAATGAGGCCTGCAAAGAGGAGGGACTGAAAGAGGAGAGGGAGATAAGCCAGAGAGGTTTGCAGGGCTGGAGTGTGGACTTGATTTCAGGAACACAGGCAGCCTCTGGAAGGATTTTTAAAAAGATAATGGCTGGGCATGGTGGCTCATGCCTGTAATCTCAGCGCTTTGGGAGGCTGAGGTGGGGGGATTGCTTGAGACCAGGAGTTTGAGACCAGCCTGGGCAACAAAGTGAGACTCTGTTTACACACACACACACACACACACACACACACACAAAAAAAAAAAAAACCTTGAATTAGCTTAACCAGGCACAGTGGTGCACGGCAGTAGTCTCTACTTAGGAGGCTAAGGTGGAAAGATTGCGTGAGACCAAGATTTTTTTTTTTTTTTTTTTTTTTTTTTTTGAGACAGAGTCTCACTCTGTCACCCAGGCTGGAGTTCAGTGGCGTGTGCTCAGTGCAACCTCTGCCTGCTGGGTTCCAGCGATTCTTGTGCCTCAGCCTCCTGAGGACTACTAGGAGTCTAGGACTACTAGGACTATGGGCATGCACCACCACATTCCGCTAATTTTTGTATTTTTAGTAGAGAGGGATTTCGCCATGTTGGCCAGGCTGGTCTCAATCTCCTGACCTCAGATGATCTGCCTGACTCAGCCACCCAAAGTGCTGGGACTATAGGCGTGAGCCACTGCACCCGGCTGAGACCAGGAGTTTTGAGGCTGCAGTGCTATGATCATACCACTGCATTCCAGCCTGGATGACAGAGCGAGACCCTGTCTCTAAAAAAGAAAAAAAATAATCTGCTGAGATTGCACCCTCATTAGTGCTGGGGGGCAGGGAGTGGCACACGCCTGCCTCTTGCTAAAGTGGCCTGTTTGCTGTGTGTGCAGCCTGCTCTGTTCACCTTGTGTGCTGGGAATGAGCTCTTCTACTGCCTCCTCTACCTGTTCCATTTCTCTGAGGGACCTTTAGGTATGAGATGAGGGGTGGGGCAGGAGGATGGGAGGGGGATCTGGCCTGCCCAGGGAGATGGAGGCCCCCTCCTTCGGGCCCCGAACTTCCCTGCTGCCTTCCTGCAGTTGGCTCCGTGGGACTGTTCCGGATGGGCCTCTGGGTCACTGCCCCCATCGCCTTGCTGAAGTCGCTCATCAGTGTCATCCACCTGATCACGGCTGCCCGCAACATGGCTGCCCTAGACGCAGCAGACCGCGCCAAGAAGAAGTGACACAGGAGCCCCGGGTCCTGGCTGCCCACCTGCCCTGGGAGTCCTGCTGTGCCACACAGCTCCCCACCCGCTGCTAGGAGGTCCCAGTCTCACGCCTTCCTCATGTGTTGTTCTACCTGCTGGGATGGGGGTCAGCCTCTCTTTGGTGACGTCACGTTCTCTGGGATCCCAAGAACCCAGGCCTCAAATCAGGGAGGTTACGCGGGAGGCCCCATACATACAGGCGGTGCTCCTGGAGTGCCAGGACCGGGCAGTGTCACGCCCTGCTGGCTCAGCCCTAGGGTCCGAGATGCTAGGGACAGTTGAGTGAGGGAGATGGTGTGAGGGCCGCGTTTCCCGAAAGGCAGAGGAATCAGACCTCCGCCCCCAGCTAGAGCAAGTCTGGGGCACCGTGCCTGGGAGGGAAGAAGCCGTCCACAGCCTTCCACGTCGCCGGCTTCTCTGTCCTGCCTACCCTGGTCCTGGCGGGACTTCACTATTTGACTTGCTTTCCTTTCAGATATTCTTGGCTCAGGGCCTGGG